TTCCTTCCTTCCTTCCTTCCTTCCTTCCTTCCTTCCTTCCTTCCTTCCTTCCTTCCTTCTTTCCTTCTTTCTTTCTTTCTTTCCTTCTTTCTTTCTTTTTCTTTCTTTTTCTTTCTTTATCTCTCAATCCCACTCCATTTTCAGGCTTCCCAGAAACTCCCATGATATATGGTGGGAGTGCAGTATGGGTGACCAGAATCCGATGCCTCCTTCTAGGGAAATAGATCAATACATGTCTCACACAAACACACGCATATTACTTGTGATATTCTCCCGCATGGCTTGTGACCTGGAAACCTGGGTGTGTGCAAGCTTCTTTGTTTACTCTCTTGATGAGAGATGCGTCCTCTGAATTATGCTCAGGAAGATCGGGGTTACTTTATCCTCTCCAATCCAGGGGCCGGAAAGAAAGAACTTTTGTGGAGCCGAAACTGGTTCTGATGAAGCAGGATCCACAATCTGCGTCGGTCCCCGGGACGAGAGGTTTAGTCTTCCGAGCTTTTCGACCCGCGCTGGAGTCCATTCTCAGGATACTTACCTCTCTCACTCGAATGTGTGGAGGCAAAACCTCTGGTTCTGGGGACCGACCCAAGATGGGATCCTCTGCGATGTTATCCTGGGACACGAATATTTGCCTTTGTTCATGAGGTCATCTAGTCCAACCCCAGCCCAAGCAGGTGACCCTACATCAACTCTGTTGATCTGTATCTGAGACAGGTTCAGATTCGTGGGCAGGGAGGCTATTTTTCAGCAGACTGCTGCTCTCCTCCTCCTCCTCCTCCTCCTCCTCCTCCTTCTCCTCCTTCTCTCCCATACACCCCACCCCCATTTAAACCCTCCCCACATTGCAATGGCCTTCCACATCATGCTTCTTTCTGCCTCTGCACTACATCTGCTTTCCTTTTCCTTCTCCAGTCACTGCTTCTTCACTGGCCACCCACTGTGCTGTCCTTGGGAAGCTCGGGATGCTTTTGCCTTTCCCGAGGGAAGGAGGAGGAGGAGGAGGAGGAGGGAGGAGGACAGTCTGGGTGGAGACCCCCAGCTCGCTCTCCGAATCCCGGAAGGGAAGGCGGGGTGGAGATTGAAGGCATCGTTTGGCTCTGGGGAGAGGAGGAGGCTGTTGGAAGTGGGAAGGTGGGTGATCCAAAGATGTGTCACTGAAGCATTCAGAAAATTAAACTCGGCCACGCGCGCAACGCCCTGTGCCTTGGCAGAGTCTGGGAAGGGTGGTGGGGAGAGAAGGAAGGAATCTCAGGCCATCAGAAACTGCCTGCCTGAGTCACGCAAGTCCGGAGTTCTTCTTCGCTTCATATTGCTTCAAGGTTTTTGCAATGCCCCAGTTAAAAAGGACACAAAATGCTGGCTTGTAAGGACGGCCCAGAACTCCTCCAAGGGCAGTGATTGAGGGGTGTGGGTGGAAACCCCTGTCCTTTGAGGACTGGGAAGAGATGCATTGCAAAGCCATCTTCCAGATCCTGTCACTTTATTTGTTCAGATTGGGTCAGTAAAAACAGACAGACACCCTCGCTTCTCTCTCTTGATTCTCAAAGAATCCTGGATTTGGTGAGGCACAGGCAAACTCGGGTCTCTTGGATGATTCCTGTGCCAAGCAGCATCTTCTGACCTGGACATAATGAGTCTTTCTCACTCCGTAACCCGTGTTTCCGCATCTGAGTTTGCAGGTCTGGGTTTATGGCGCCGGATTTGCCCATATCTCTCAGAAGACTTGGATGGAAGGAGCCTGAACGCTCCTGAATATTAGTGTTGCTCCGTTTAATTAAAAAGAAGGAAAAAGAAAAAAAAACGGGGGATAGCGCTACAGATTTGCAAATGGCAAAAGGGTTTTTCCCTCTCTGTTTTTACCCTTTGCTTTGACATCTCTGCCCCTATTTTGCCTGGAAGAGGGTGGGCTGGGGAAGGGAGATACATTCACCCACCCACCCGCTTAGTAGGGTCCTGTGATCCGGAGAGCATTTAGCTGACTTTATTTTCCCTTGGTTTGAAAATAAATATCGGCTTCCGCTGGCAGGCTTTTAGTTTGTTGGTGCAGAAAAGGGTGTGTGAGATTGCAGCCCTGTCCACGCCATCTCACTTGGGGTTAAAAAAATCCAACGGGGTCTGGAAAATTTCCAATCTAGTTTTGCAGGCCAACAGGGCAACGCGGCACGCAGGCCTTTTGACATTTTGAACTTGGGACTGACTCTTTCCACTTTCCTTTGAGTCGCCGTGGCAAATAGGCGGCAACACAAATCTGATAAATAAATCTTATAAACTAAATAAATAAAACAGGAGTGGGTGCTCCCACTGGGGAACCTTTGGGTAACACACAGGAAGGGCCTTGCTTCAAAAGGAAGGGGCGGGTAATGGGAATTTCCTCCGTGGGAGATTATGTTGAATTAAAAGTCAGCTGCAATTAATACGTTCTCCACACACCCAGACACGCTGAATCCTGTTCCTGACCGGTTCAAACTTATACAAGGTCAGTTTGGAGGCAGCTTTGGGGTATCCCAAACTCTGAAAAAAAAAAAAAAGACACAAAACCTTTGATTGCCCTAAGTTGAAGGGCAAAGTTTTGGGGTGCCTCTCCTCTGGGTGAGTTAACATTGCCTTCCATGCAAATGAAGGAGGAATAATATTTGATTGTTCTTGACCCTTGGGGTGGAGTCATTTTAACCCAGGGGGTCTCCAAACTTGGCAACTTTAAGACTTGTGGACTGGAGGATTCTGGGAGTTGAAGTCCACAAGTCTTAAAGTTACCAAGTTTGGAGACCTCTGTTTTAACTGCACACCTCCCTTCGCCCTACTCCTTCCTGTGCCACTTGGGGGGCTCACACAACCAAAGCTAAGCCATAGAGGTAGAGGTAGACCACCATTTACAGTCCCAATTGGGATCCAAATTTCCATGGC